ACCAAGAACAGAACTAAACATGATTCTGTGGTACACAGAAAGTATTTGTTGAGCACAAAAGGTGGAACAGAGGGACAAAAAAAAAAAAAGACACGACACATTTATTATTTTTTACATTTATTTTTAAATATATTTTTATTGATTTCAGAGAGGAAGGAAGAGGGACAGAGAGAGAGAATCTTGGATTGGCTGCTTCTTGCAGGTCCCCACTGGGGAGGGAGCCCACAACCTGGGCATGTGCCCTTGACCGGAATCAAACCTGGGACCTTTCAGCCTGAAGGCCGATGCTCTATCCACTGAGCCACACCGACTATGGCAAGACACAGCACATTTAGAAAGACAGCAGCAGGGGGCGGTTTTAAATCTCAGAAATCTGGATTCATACGCGGGTGAGGACGTGGACCAACCCCACTGACGGGAAAGAAACGCTGAAAATAGACCTTTTCCATCCAGAGCAACTTTTCTGACTTTCAGAACGTCAACACTCATCAGAGACCTGGCGGAGGGCAGGACGGCAGCCAGGGCCTGACGGGGTCGCTGGGGGTGGCTGGGATAGTCCGGTGTGATTTCCGGCCCTTCCCACGAAGCTGCCCAAACGCTTCAGAGCTTGTCCGCCTGGGAGAGGCTGGGGGGCCCAAGCAGCCGTGGCAAAGCCAGACTGTACCCCCGCGGCTCTGCCCAGCCAGCCAGGGCCCGGCAGGTGGGCCGTGGGGACAGGGCCGGTCTCCCCACCGAGGTCACTGCTGTTTCCCTGCAGATCAAGGACTACCAGGAAAACACCTATTACAGCGACTTCATCTCTCACCTGACGAATGTCAGGTACTCAGGTGAGGAGGCCAGCAGCAGCAGGAGGGAGGAGGAGGGAGTGTGAGGTGGGGACAGAGGTGGGGGGTAGGGGAGGGCAGGGAAGGGTGGCGCTTGGGGGGAGGGTGTCCTGTGGGAGAGGTGTCCCCCTCAGTGTCAAGCTGAGACGAAGCTCTAGCCCAGTGGTCGGCAAACTCATTCGTCCACAGAGTCAATGTCAATGATCACCATTTCTTTTGAGAGCCAAATTTTTTAAACTTAAACTTCTTCTAACGCCACTTCAAACTAGACTCACCCAGGCTGTGGTATTTTGTGGAAGAGCCACACTCAAGGGGCCAAAGAGCCACATGTGGCTTGAGAGCCGCAGTTTGCCGACCACGGAGCTAGACGGAAACCCCTCAACATTGTGCCTGGATACACAGACCGGGGACACGCAGACGGGGGGACACGCAGACCGAGGATACGCAGACCAGGGACATGCAGACCGGGGACACACAGACCAGGGACACGTAGACTGGGGACACGCAGACCGGGGACACGCAGTCTGGGGACACTCAGGCCGGGGACACACTGACCGGGGACACGCAGACCGGGGGCCACGCAGTCCGGGGACATGCAGACCGGGGGCTGGTGTTCCCACCCTCTGCCTCTGGGAGGCCAGTTCTGGTCAGAGGGACCACCTACTCCCAGGGCCAGCCCTTGACCTTGAACAACAACCATGTCAGCTTTGAAGGAGTGGCTTTGTGCCTCCCACTGTGGCCACATCTGTTCCTGCCCCTCCCCCAAGCCTCCCAACCTCCTGTCCGTGGGCCTCCTGTGGGTCAGCCTCCTGTGGGTCAGCCTCGTGCCTTTCATCTCTTGTGACCTCGCAGAGGCAGGGCTTCCATTCTGACCAACGCCCTCCACGCCCTCGTCCCTGGCCCCCCATCCTCCATAACACAGCCCAGAACAATGCCCAGCTGGCGGCCACGGCTGGAACGGCTGGGCAGGAACAGACATCGTGCTGCTGTTGTTCACGGCTACAGATGTGGACAGGCTCCTCTGGGCGCAGCTCTCCCCTCTCCAGAGTGCCCCCTTCCCGCCTCCTCTTCTCCCTGAAACCCTCTGCCCTGGCCTCAGCCGACAACTGCGACGATGATGATGAGTTACACTCGAGCAGTGGCCGTGCTGGTCCCACCCAGCACTTTAAAACACTCCCCTTCCCCCCAACAGCCCTCCTGACCGCTCCCTGGTCACAGAGGAGGAGCAGCCTTCAGGGCAGAGGACCTGGCCGGCCAGGAGGAGGCGGCGGAGGGGTCTCCTCCAGGTCTTTGCTCTCCATCCTTCCAGGAAGCAGCGCCCTGGGGGAGAGGTTTCCTGGGACTCAGCTTCCGCGCCCTCCGCGTGGCCAGGAGGGGGACGGTGGTGAGCTCGGGGCCGAGTCACTGCAGTCCCTCACGCCCTCTGTCTGTGGCCCCGTTAGGACAGAGCACCACTCTGGACAGCTTTGACGTCCAGAACATGCTGCCTGCGGACCTCCAGCTCTACTACACCTACGGGGGCTCGCTCACCACGCCGCCCTGCACCGAGAACGTCCGCTGGTTCCTGCTGGCCGACACCGTGCAGCTCTCCAAGGCTCAGGTACCGTGCAGCCTCCGCCCAGGCCTCCTCTGACCGCCTGGCCAACAAGAGTGCTCCCCGAACCCACACAAGGCCAATGCCGGGCTCCTGTGGTGCTTTCCAAGGGGCTGCTGGCCGCCCTCTGTTGCCGGGGTATCTTCCTGGTGCTGTGGCAGAGACAGGCAGACAAGGCATCACCCAAGGAGCCACAGCTCAGGCAGCAAAAGGCCGGAGCCGACCCAGGCCAGGGGAGGGAAGTCGCCCAGTGAAGGCGAATACTCATTGGGGCCGCTCTCAGAGGCCCTGCCGTAGGCCCAGGAAGTACAAAACCCCGTCCCCCCACGGCCTGCATGCTGACTTCACCGATGGCTTTGTGCAGGACAGCGTCGCCGGTAGGTCATGTCCCTCCTCCAGGGAAGGTGGAGGGACCCACGTTCAAGGAGACCCATTCCCACACACAAAAGTGTCGCCAACCAAAAGCTGGAAGTGCCCAGATACCTAATAGAATCAAATGTAAATTATCTCTGGAAATGCGCACCTTCAATCCATATGTTGACGAATTTCCACCAAGTTACCGGAAATGAGCTTCATTAGAAACAAAATCACAAATTACACAAGGAAAAAGACACTATGAGTGAGCGCCAACAGAAAGAGACCCACACAAGTTTCAGGTAGCAGAGTTATCTGTTAATATAAAATAAGAATGTTTATGTATGTAAAACCGCATAATAGGTAGAAGCATGTTTAATATGAGTTTTAAATATGATAAAAGAACAAAAAGTATAAAAATGACCACATAGACTTGAAAAAAATAAACCCAAATAGAATTTCTAGAATTGAAAAGATAGTAAAAACAGAGTAAAAAAATGCATTTAATAGACCAAGCTGAGAAAATTACCTAAAATGAAACACAAAGAGAAAAAGAGGTGGAAAAGAAATAAAGAGACAGAGAATAGAGTGGAAAAATCTAACAAATATCCAGTTGAAACTCCAGGAGAAGGAAGGCAGCATAGAGAGGAGGCACAATTTGAGGAATATACGCTGACAAACTTTCAGAAGAGTTCAGGAAGCCCCCCGAGTCAATGTAAATTTTACTCATTTTGTTTTTTAAAAGAATATTTTTTATTGATTTCAGAGAGAGAGATAGAAATATCAATATTGAGAGAGAATCATTGAGTGGCTGCCTCCTGCACACCCCACACTGGGGATTAAGCCCACAACCCGGGTATGTGCCCTTGACCAGAATCAAACCTGGGACCCTTCAGTCCGCAGACCGACACTCTATCCACTGAGCCACACCAGCTAGAGCTCAATGTAAATTTTAAAACACACACACACACTACACATATCAGAGTGAAATCAAAGACAAAGGAAGCAATTTAAACATCAGCCGGAGGGGGGAAGAACAGACTGCCATGAAGAGACAGGATTACACTGACAGCAGACTCCGCACCGCAGCAGTGAGCGTCGGAAAGCAGAGGGATCGTCTCCCCAAAGCACCGAGAGAAAGAGCAGCTGACCTGGAACTCTCCGCGCAGCCAAAGTGCCTTTCGAGGATGTAGATGGAATGCAGGTGTTTTCAGGAAAAATGAGCATCGAGCTTGCTGCCTGGCACGTCTCTGTTTACTTCTCCCTCCCCTTTCTACTGTCGACCCAAGACTCGTAGAAAACAACTACTAAGAGAGATTTCTGGATGAGAATAGAGGGATGAGTGTCCGTGCCTGCTCTGGGCTGGGGCTCTCACAGCTGTTTTATCCAAGTTGCCCAAGTCCAAGACCGAGTCCCAGTTCTAACGCAACTCTTTCCCATCGCCCGTGTCCCTGCCTCTCCGTAAGTCACTCCTTGTCGCCTGCAGGTGGGGAAGCTAGAGAATTACTTAGTGGACGACCACCACAAGATCATCCAGAGCATTTACCGCAGGACCCAGCCCCTGAACAGCAGGGTGGTGGAAGCCAACTTCGTCTACCACCCTAATTACCGTAAGATCCACCCCCATTTCTCCCTGGCCTCTCTCTCCTGGCCACCGAGGGGAGGAGAGTGTCTGAGCAGCCGGAGGCTCGGATGGACCGTGTGCCGGGCGTGGCAAAGGGGGTGACCCATTTTCCTAGTCCCGGCAGCTGGTCAGACACTGGCCTCGGGCAACTTCCCGGGAAGCACCGACGTGCTCTACGGCGAAGCAGGCCCGCTGGGCACCACGGGGGAAACTGAGGTGCAGGAGTGCAGACCCGCCTTCGGCACGTCACCCGGCAGGCGGGCCGCTGGCCAGCCTAGACTCAGACCCAGAGAAGATGCCGGAAGGCGGCGGGGAGGGGGGAGGGCACCTGCTGCCCCGCGTTCCCCGGTTCCACGGGGACCCCCACATCCCCCCAACCTCTTCCTGTGGGCTCTTCCTTTCACAGAATTAGCCCTGAGCTCCCAGCTCCTGCTCAACACACGCTGGATCGACAAGAAGCTGGATGTGATGATCAGCTTCATGGAGGTTCTAGGGAGGAGAAGAGGCCGGTACCACAGGTACCCCTGAGCTCGAGGAGAGACCGGGCAGGAGGGCCCCCGCCCCAGGCGGCCCCGCCCGGTTTCCCCCCCCCTCCCTGACGCACCCGTGCAACCTCTGATTCGAACCCGGGACCGTCCTCCCGGAGGCAGCGAGCGGCGGGAACGTCTGAGGAGGATGTGAGACGACACCCGTGGGACTCGCTGAGCTTCCAAACAGACCAGCTCCCCTTCCCCGTCGCCTGTAGATGCAGTAAATGACTTTGGAAAAACGTCTCTCCGCGCCTCCTTTGTCCCACGTCACATGCCCCTCCTGTCCCGCCCGGAGGGACCCGGGGCCGGGACAGGGATCCGCTGGGAGCGGTTCCAGGACCAAGATTAGGACACGGTGGGAGCAGGGACAGACCATCAGCCCACGGACTGAAGGGTCCCAGGTTCGATTCCGGTCAAGGGTGTGCACCTCGATTGCAGGCTCGGTCCCTGGCCCTGGTTGGGGCTTGTGTGGGAGGCAACCCCTCTCTCTGTTTCTCTCTCTCTGTCTCCCCTCTCCCTCCACTCTCTCTAAAAATCAATGGGAAAATGTCCTCAGGTGAGGATGAAAACAAAACAGAAAATCACAATAAATATTCACACTCACATACACACACACATACACACACACTCACACATACACTCACTCACACATTCACACACACACACACACACACTCACACACACACACTCACACACACACACACACACACACTCACACACATCACACACACACCCAAACACACACATCACACACACTTCACAACACACACAAAACACACTCACACACACTCCACACACACACTCACACACACACACACACACACACACACACACTCACACTCACACACTCACACACACACTCACACACACAACTCAAACACTCACACCACACACACTCACACACACACTCACACACACCACACACACACGCACACACACCTCACACACACACTCACACCACACACACACACTCACATCACACCTCACACACACACTCACACACAACTCACACACACACTCACAACACACATCACACACAATCACACACAAACACACACACTCACACACTCACACACACACACCACACACACACACACACACCACACACACACCACACACACTCACACACACACTCACACACACTCACACACACACTCACACACACACTCACACACACTTACACACACTCACACACACACACACACTCACTCACACACACACTCACCCCTAAAAGAAGAGGGGGAGCCGCCCTGCGGGGAGACTGCGGGCGGCGGGGTGTGGAGCGGGGCGCCTGTGGCGGAGGGAGAAAAGCCCGGAGCCGAGGGAGCGGAGGGGGCTCGGCCTGAGTGGCGCCACCTGGTCCGAGTCCCTGGACTCAGGGTCAAGTGCGAGCTCCGCACGGACGGTCACGTGGGTCAGTGACGGTGCTTCCGGGCCGCGGGGGCTGCGGTCAGACCAGGCGGCCGTTTCCATCGCTCCGTCCGGGGTTCCCCCCCCCCCAGGCCCTCCCTTACCCTCTCCGCTTCCTCAGGGCGGGGCGCCCTCCCTCCGCTCCGCCCCGCGGGGCGGGGTCCGGGCCGGCGCCTCCTTCCCGTCCCGGAGAAGGAACCGGAGGCAGCGGGCGGCCGGCTACCTGCCGAGGCCTCCCCGCGGCGGACAGTGAGCTCGGATCTGAACCCGGGCCTCTGGCCGCCACGTCCTCTCGCCTCCAGAGTCTCCCTTTGCTTGTTCCCCGGCCTGTGAGGCAGCTGCGGGGCGGCGGGGGTCCGCTGGGCCGGTGTCCCGGGGCCGGCGGCTCCGGAGAAGGCCCCCTGACCGTGTGCCCCAGTCCCCTCTGCAGCCTCAGGCGCCGCCCGCCGAGGCGCGACTCCGGTTCCCAATGGGAGGAGGGAAACGGGAGGGAGCCCCTCTGGAGGGAGGAGCCCGCACCTCGCCCCGGCCCCGCCCCGGCCACGCCCGGCCCCGCCCCAACCCCGCCCCCGCCCCAGGCTCCGCCCCCGGTACCGCCCCTCAGGCACCGCCCCCAGGCTCCGCCCCTCGGCACCGTCCCCAGGCACCGCCCCTCAGGCACCAACGCCAGGCCCCCGGCCCCGACCCCAGGCCCCAACTCCAGGCACCGCCCCCGGCACCGCGCCCAGGCACCGCCCCCCGCCCCGCCCCTGGCACCGCCCCCAGACACCGCCCCTCAGGCACCGCCCCCAGGCACCAACTCCAGGCCCCCGCCCCCGGCACCGCCCCTCAGGCACCGCGCCCCCCTGTCTGACGGGGCGGGGTGGGGGGGGGGGAGGGCCCAAAGGCCAAGCTCTCGCTCCTGTAAGACAACGAGGCGCAGTGCCGTCTGGGCGCACCCAGAGCCGGAGGACGGCACCCAGCACTCAGGCCCTGGGCACCCCGTGCTCCACCCTGAGGACGAGGCGTGGGAGAGACTGAGGCAGCCTCCCCAAGCCACCGGTTTCCCTGCCGCTCACCCCAGCGTGTTCCTGCCGCCCTCCGCCGGGCAGGTGCCTGGATGTCCTGGTGGGGGCGCCGCAGGGGCACCTGCTGCATTGGGTCAGGGGTCAGGGGTCAGGGGTCAGGGGCAGCAGGAGCTGCTGGGCACGGAGGCAGGAGCTGAGGAAGGTGGGGATGCCAGGGCGGGCGGGCAGAGCTGGAGAGCTGTCTAGAGGGGTGTTTGCAGCTGCCCAAGCCCGGCCACCTCCCGCCAGCCTGGCTGAGTGGCTTGGCCTCCATCACTGCCCAGGGCCCCTCCTGTCCGCCTGCTGGACTTGGGAGGGGGCAGTGGACCTGAAAGGAAGTGAGTCCCCTGAGGAAGAGGAGGAGGAGGAGGAGGAGGAAGGAGAAGGAGGAGGAGGAGGAGGACAGCACCAGGGAGGTGATGAGAGAGTGATGGCCACCTGCAGCTCCTGAGGGTAGAATTCAGTTAGAATTGTAGGTTCTGTGGTACATTTTAGCCGTTGTCCTAACCCAGTTTTGAAGTAAGTAGCTGTACATTTTGTTAATGTCTCACCCTGGAGAGCGAGTTTGGAGATGAGGCTGGTATGAGTGACTATGTGTGTGTGTGTGTGTGTGTGTGTGTGTGTGTGTGTGAATATACAAAGAGATCTGGGAGGTTCCACTCCAAGGATTTTAAATGATCCTTTTCTAAGCGGCTTAGATCATACTTTTTTTTTTTTAAATAAACAAGCATGGCTTCTGTAAAAAGAGAAAAAAGAAAAGAATAACAAAACAAAAGAAAGAATGAAGGAAAAAGATCTAGAATCTTCTAACATTTCAAAATTTTAACTTTTTTTTATAGCCAATCGCATTGTTTTAATATTGAAAGGCTAAAAAAAGAAAGTTTTCACCCACCAATGGACATTTTAATAATTTTTGTGGAATAGTGCGAATATTACTGCTGACTTGTGTCATTGCTTACTGTTCATTTCTAGTTTCAGCTTTTCACCACCACAGACAACACAGAGTGGGAATCTGGATGAATTTAGTTTAAAAACTAAAAACAAACATCAAAGGAAAACGACAAGACGTTCAGTGATGCTAGTTTGGGGCTAATCTGTGTCCCCCAGGTGGGCCTTGGGAACACTTTTCTAACTTGAGTTCCTGAAGTCCATTTTGTTTTCCAGAAGCTTCCTCGGAGGGCACACCGCAGGGAGAGCAGGAGGAATCTGCCTTCGCACAGCCCAGAGCAGACTCCTGGGCGGGAGGACCAGCCCTGCTGCCCCCTCGGGCCTCTGGGGCCCCAGGGGCCCAGCCCTCGCAGCCCCGGGATTCCCACGTCCAAGGCTGGTGCCCACAAGTGCGTGGCCCCAGAAAAGGTTCGAGAAACAAAATATTCAGTAGAAACAGCCCAGCAGCTGGTCCCTGGTGCTCTCGGGGGTGTTCCTCTCTCTCTCTCCAGTGGCCACTGGGAGGATGGCAGGGCCTGTGCCTGGGGGATTGTATTGTATTGTATGTATGTATGCATGGATGCATGCATTTATTCAGTTTTATTGATTCAGAGAGGAAGGGAGAGGGAGCAAGAGATAGTAACATCAATGATGAGAACGAATCATTGATCGGCTGCCTTCCACACACTCCACACTGGGGATCCGGCTAGCAACCCCAGCATGAGCCCTAAACCAGGAATCAAAGGGTGACTTCCTAGTTCCTAGGTCCACACTCACAAAGCCACTGAGCCACACTGGCTGGGCCCAGGGGACTTGGGAGATCTACCCATCCCCTCTCATTTTCCATATTGGTAACCTGAGGCACATAACAGGACCTGTAAAGGTCACATGATAAGCCACAGGCGTGTTCCTGGGCCAGTCTTTCTACACAGGAAGACGGGACTGCACTGGGCGGTGGCCCTCTTGCCTCTGGGTCCACTTTATGAAATTCAAAGCACCTTCACACCTGGGGGACAGCTGCCCAGCCCTTCCTGTCCACGCCCCCCCTCCCCCCGTCACCAGGGGCCTGCCCCCGCCCCCCAGCTGGATGGGCACAGTCTCCACATAAGACGCCACAGAAACAACCGGGGAGACTGGATCCGAACTACCAGACGGCCCAGCAGGTGGCTCAGTGGTTGAGCATCGGCCTAGGCAGTGGTCGGCAAACTCACTAGTCAACAGAGCCAACTATCAATAGTATATCAATAGTATAACGACTGACATTTCTTTGGAGAACCAAATTTCTTAAACTTAAGCTTCTTCTAACGCCAGTTCTTCAAAATAGAACTCATCCAGGCCGTGGTATTTTGTGGAAGAGCCACTCTCAAGGGGCCAAAGAGCCGCATGTGGCTCACAAGCCGCAGTTTGCTGACCACGGAACTAGGAGGTTGGATTGGGAATCAGGGCACATGTCCAGGTTAAGGTTACGTCCCCAGTAGGGGGTGTGCAGTAGGCCACTGATCCATAACTCTCTCAACATTGATGTTTCTGTTTCTCTCCCCTCTCCCTTCCTCTCTAAAACCAATAAAAATACATTTTTTAAAAATACCAGGAGGGGCAGCTAGCCCTTTCAAAGCTTCGCTTTGTAAAGGAATCACTGCAGGGAGAGGTCATAGGTTAAGTCATCACCAGTCATCGGAGTCTTCGTGTGGATGACACGGCAGTGCACGTGCCCAGTAAATATCCGCAGAGAATCGAGGCCCCCACCGAGAGCGGGACCCTGGAGAGGAGGCCTGCAGCCAGAGGGAGGGGGAGGGGGCGAGCTGGGCCTGCAGCGTCACAGGCACCAGGGCTCCAATTCACATCACCGCCGGTTAGGCAGGCAGCACACAGGTGGCGGTGAATGGAAAGCTCCATGGCGCCTCCTGGTGCCTGAAAGGAGCAGTGCAAACACATGGGGGGGCAAAGAGGAGGGGATGCAGGTACGTGGAGGAATAGCAGATGGTATTTAGGGATTGATTTTTTTTTTTTGTATGTGAAATCAAGGTATTATACCAAAACATGACTTTATTTTGAAAAGTTCCAAAGTAAGATATTTAGGGGTGAAATGTCATGTGTTTCCCTGGCTGAGCCCCCAGGACGGGGGAGGAAGGCGAGTGCGCTCCTGAGCAGCGGGTCTCCCTCCTGCACCGGGGCCCGGCCAGGCCCAGGCTGTGGGGCAGACGCTGAGGTGGCGGCGTCTCCCTGGACGTGAGACCTGCCGGGCGGGCGTGGCTCGGTGGCTGAGTGTTGACCTATGAGCCAGGAGGTCACGGTTCTATGCCCAGTGGGGGGCGTGCAGGAGGCAGCCCATCAATGGTTCTCTCATCATGGAAGTTTCTGTCTCTCTATCCCTGTTCCTTCCTCTTGGAAACCAATTAAAATATTTTATTTTTTTTTAAAAAGGAGAAGAAAACACGTACAACGACCGATCCATTGGGGGACGATGCCGTCGAAGCCGCCCCGAGGAAGATGTCTGGGCCGGGGCTGGGGCTGGGGCGCAGGCAGAGGGGGGACCAGGGGCCGAGCTCCACGGAGGGGCTGGGATCAGAGCAGGTTGGGAACACGCGTTTTATGGGGCGAGGCGGCTCCCGATAACCGTTAACACCGCGTGCACGTGCAGCGGCGGCCGGCGCGGGGCAGGCTCGGCGGGCGGCGTGGCTTCCCCAGAACCAGCCGGGCCAGCCCCCGGCGGAGCCTCCGGAAGGCGGAGAGAACACGGGAGCGGAGAGGAGCAGGCGGCCGGGGAGAACCGCCATCCCCGCGGGCACCGGCTTCTTCCCCTGAAACCAAGCGAGGAAACACGCAGAACACACGCAGACGGAGCCCAGGACACATGCAGACGGGGCCCGGGGCACACGCAGACGGGGCCCGGGCACACGCGGGCGGGGCCCTGGGCACACGCAGACAGGGCCCGGGACACACGCAGACGGGGCCCTGGGCACAGGCAGACGGGGCCCTGGGCACACGCGGGCGGGGCCCGGGGCACACGCAGACGGGGCCCGGGACACATGCAGACTGGGCCCGGGGCACACGCGGGCAGGGCCCAGGACACACGCAAACGGGGCCCAGGGCACACGGGGACGGGGCCCGGGGCACACGCGGACTGGGCCGGGGCACACGCGGGCGGGGCCCGGGGCACACGCGGGCGGGGCCCACACGGGGTGGGGAACGGCTCCCGCACACCAACTCCAGCAGCCACAGGAGCTGGGCGGCGGGCCCCTCCCCATTCTCCCGACTCAGCCCGGGCTCAGAGATGCCTCCAGGGGAGGGGAGGTGGCAGACGGGACCCCGAGCCGGCCAGAGCCCACGGAGGGTGTCTGCCCACATACACCGCACTGCCATCCCCTCAGCCATCCCGTGGGCGGGCAGGAAACAGCAGCGTTCCCGTGTCTCAGGCGGAGATGAGCCGGGGAAGCTGCTTCCCCGAGTGCGGGGCCCGGCGTGCAGGCCCGGCTGGGTCCGGCGTCCGTGCTGGGCGGCGCTGGCCTGGCCGGCAAAGACCTGCCTGTCCACGGAGGCGCCCAAGCCGAGGCCTGAGAGCTGCAGGGCTGTCCCAGGAGCTGCGAGGATGCCTTCTGGGGACAGGGACTGAGGGACCGCTCACCAAGGTCCTTGTCAACCGAAATCCATGATCTCAGGAAGAGGAAGGGGCAGCATCCGGAACACTGGACCGGGCAGCCAGCCTGGGAAGCTGAGGCCGCGGCTGGGCTGAGTTGTTTTACAGGGGACACCTGACCCCATACCTGGAGCCAGTCTTCCCTCCGAGGGGCTGCTCCTCAGAGCCAAACCTTGCCGGCTGTGTACGCGGCCGACCCTGAGCCCCCCGCCTGTCCCTCCCTCCTGCCCCCCTCCCCCTCTCCCCTTCCTGAAGACAGGAGCTGAACCAGCCACTGGATGCTCCAGGCCGCCCAGGGGACAGGCCGGCTCCACCCACATCTCCCAGCCCAGGGGCCTCTGCAAAATGACGGAGGTGAGGGGACCCCACTGCCCAAGCTCTGTGACGGGGGTCCAGGTGAGGAGCCAAGCCTGGGCTTCTAGAACAGTCCAGCCGCCCCCGGTATAGCTAAGAACAGCTGTCTGGATTACACAAAAGCCTGGTTAGGGCCTAATGACCACATCTGAGTGTTTCCTCATTCGCGTGGGTGGCAGATGGCAAATGCCAATCAAGCACCTAGCAGAAGAGGCATGTGGGCCTGCTGCACCAGTAACCGGGGTCCAGCCGCCGAGAGTGTCTCTCAGGCATGTGCTTTAGACGTCCTTTCCTTTAGAGGGTTCCCCACTCACACCCCAAAACTGCCATCTCAGTGTATCGAGTCGAGTGTCACTGGGAATGCCTCCGCATGGCATGTGGCCAGATGGCACCCGCTGCCTCACCCCGAGGCCGTGCCTCACCCTCCCTCCTGGGGACCTTGGCCCGGGCACCCCGCCTTATCTGCGGAGTCACCTCTTTGCAGCTCCTGGGCGTGGGCCCCAGATTAGGGAGCCCGGGCAAGCCCAGCAAAGGACACAGAGCCACTGGGCATCTCAAGGAAGACACGGGACAGGGGCATGGGGAGTGACTCAGCCTGAGCCCCGGCCTCAGACCAGCAGCCCTGGTGAGGCTGTGCCGTATGGGGCGAGGCTGCCCGGTCTCCCCGAGCCCCGGGTCACTGGCCACGAGGCAGGCCCATGGGCATGCACCCGCGGAGCGCCTGCTGCGGTGCTGACAGGGCACTGAGGGGAGCCGAGGCCAGGACTTTGCTCTCAGGGCTGTGCCTCATCGGCGGAGCTGGGGACAGAGGGCCTGGCCTGCGGGTCCCGGGCCAGGACAAGGGAAGGGTCCGGGGCACCTCAGGGACCGGCTTCAGGGCATCGTGTCTGTGGCGCTGTGGGGACGAGGCTCTTCAAGGCCACATGGAGCCCCCGCCTGGTGCAGACCACCCGGAGATGGTGCAACTCATTTACGAGAAATTGAAAATATTTTTAATCATTTCTTATTAAAAGCTAGTGACCCGGTGCACGGATTCGTGCACATTGAAAGAAAATTAATTAGAAAGTGGCTGGCGGGGTGGGACTGGGCGAGAAGGGCGGACTGTTACTAGTAGCAGTGCCCTGGAGCCAACATCCTGTGGCCTCTTCCTCGCCGCCTGTACCTGCGGTGACACCGTGGCTCAGAGGGTGTCTGTGGAGTGAGCGAGGTCCCTCAGCCAGGCCTGCAGGGATCTGGCGGCAGCCGGCTCTCCGACATCCCCCGAGGGGTCCGAGAGTGGGAGAGGGCACTCTGCAAAGCTGCTGTCTACAGGGTGAGGAGCGCAAACGCACATGTGCAATAAACCAGATTCGGGCTGACAGTGCCCCAGCAACAACACAACCCACGGCTGAAGGTGGAATCGCCCAGCCCTGCGAAGATTCGGACTCCCTCCTCTCAGGTTTTGGGGTGCATCACCTGAGAACCGCCTCTGCCGAGTCACTGCAGCTAGGCAGCTCCAGAATTGAGCGTCTGCCCCCTGGTGGTCAGTGCGTATCATAGCTACCGGTTGGTCTGACACTTGCATAGTAGCCTTTAATTTTCTGAAAGACTTTGTGTCGAAGTGGTATTATTTCTTCCTGAAATATTTGGTAGACTTCACCAGTGAGCCCATTTGGGCCTGGGGTTTTTTCTTTGTGGGAAGGTTTTTGCCTACCAATTCAATTTCTTTCGTTGATGTAGGACTATACAGGCTGTCTGTTTCTTACTGAGTGAGCTTTGGCACTTTGTATCTTACGATACAGCAGCTCTCCTGTTTCCAAGGCAGATGTCAGCCGACCAACCCCGAGAGGGTGTTTTGCTAAACAGTCCACGAGTCTCTGACTCATGCATCCACAGAATCAGAGTCCTGCCAGTCAATGCCCAGGACCTGCCCATTCTCCGGAGTCACACCACCCAACAACGTCTCCACCAATCAGTTCCTTCCAAAGCCTTCCCGTTCCTCCGGGGCACAGAAGGCTCGGAGCTGGGACCCTCCGGCGAGGCTGGGGCCGGGGTCCCTGTCTCAGGGACGGAGGCCGTGGGTGGCACCTGCAGGGCCATCAGAAGGACGTCCCCTTGGTGGGCGGAGACGTGTGAGGCTCAGCATCTGCGGCTCCTTCCGGCTCTGGAATCTCCACTCCGTTCCTCTTGGCAAAGATCCGGTTTATCTCCACAAAGGTCTGGCCCTTGGTCTCAGGGATCACCACGTAGATGTACACGGCGGTGAGGAGGCAGATGGCGGCAAAGGGGATGAAACTGTAGGCCCCCATGGCCTCCTGGGCGGGGAGGAGAGAGCGGGAGGGAAGGAGGGGACGGGCAGGGCCTGCTGCTGGAGGACTCTGGGAGCCTCTGGATTGTGTGACGCCCCGAGGAGGGAGAGGGGGAACGTCGGGTCCCCCCTCGTGTGGGAAAGGACCCCCCAGCCTTTTCACAACAGGGACCCCGTGCCCTCCGGCCTTGGGGTGCGGAGAAGGGGGGAGCCGAGGTGCCTGCCTTCAGAAGCAGGAAGGAGGCAGCAGCAAGGAGCCCTGTCCCAGCCCCTGGCTCCTGGGCGCTGCTGATTGCCTCTGACCTCGGCGGACGGAGCCCCTGGGGATTGGCCCGTCAGGACCGAGCGAGGGGCTCCCACCGCGAGTGGGAACGGGCACATTCGCCGCGTTTGGCCAGTAAGGTGCCACGTGCGTCGAAATCGCTGATGTTCTTCGTAGAAGGAACCTGTGCCTGGTTCCTGAAGGCTCCTGCCTCGGGGTGTGTGTGTGTGTGGGGGGGGCACAGAGGGGGGAAGGGCCACCCACTGTGCTTCCCGCCCACCCCCTGCTCACCTGGACGGAGGGGAACACGAAGCCCACGATGAAGTTGGTGAGCCAGTGCACAGCCCCGTCCACCATGAAGGCGGCCGGCCGGGAGGACTGCAGGAAGATCTCGGTCCTCACCACCGAGGGCACGGGACCTGGAGAGCAGAGAGCACAGGACAGTGGGGTGCAGTGGGCTGGGGGCAGGGGGCCCAGCCCAGCCCAGACCCTCCGATAGGCAAACACGGTGAGACTCGGACCCAGGGCCTCCTAGGTCCTGGATGGCCAGGGAGGAGCGGGCAGCTTTCAGCCAGCGGTCGCCCTGCTTCCTCTCCCCTCCGACTCCTCTGGGGCGCACCAGGGCTGCGTGGCAGGGGCAGGGGGACAACCTCCCCCGGGGGGCCTGGGGGTCACCCCAAGTCCATTCTCCCCCGTGTTGCTGTCATTTTGAGATTCTCAATGAAGGGGGCGGAGCTTGTTCCTGGGAAGTGCTGCCCCCTGTGGTAGCTCTGGGGAATGGCAGGCACCTTGCCTTGGGTCTGTCTCTCCACTTTTGTCCTTAAGGAGACTTGTCTAAAATCTATAAACTCATTTTTTCCTAATCATCATCCCTTATAACGTCTCCTACCACAGACACACTGTATACCTGCTTATTTACTGTGTACCTATCTATGGTTTTAAAAATGTATTTTTATTAATTCCAAAGAGGAAAGGAGAGGGAGAGAGAGGAACATCAATGATGAGAGAGAATCATTGATCGGCTGGGCCGGGGCCGGGTGCGGTACTCACTGGGCCCGATGGAGTGCCCCGCGATGTAGGAGAAGACGCAGACCACGCTGAGGTAGGACAGCCCGGGGACCGCGCTCTGAGGGGAGAGCAGGGCTGTGGGGCCGGGCAGGCCGGCCGGGCCTGGAGAGCTCGGGGCCAGGAGCGGGGGCAGCTGAGTCCCGCACCGGCCCTCCCGCCACACGGAGGGCCTGGTTTCTGGTCACCCACGGGTGGGCCTCGGGGGCGCTGGGCAAGAGCGAGGGTGGGCGGAGGGAGAGGAAACAGGGGCGGCCAGCGTGCCAGCTCCCAGAGGCCGCCTCTCGCCCTCCCGGCAGCCACGAGGTCCCTCCCTCTGCCCGTCACCACGTTACCCACTAACCCCCATGACACCCCTGTGAGTGCGGCATTATTGTGTCGATCCCAGAGACGTGGGACCAGGAGGGCAGGGGGCCCTTGAGGGCCAAGCAGCGCCCAGGTCAGACCATCAGCAACATGGCGCCGAGACCAGGACTCCACGCTAGCTGAGAGGATCCTTCTAGAAGCCCGGGGACCAGGAGAGCCGATGGGCCATCTCCCCACTGACAGGACAAGGGCCGGCACAAAACCAGGGGGACAGACCTCAACCCACCCAGCTACACAGGCCACTGTCACCACTCTCTCTAGAAAACCAAGGGGTAAGTCTCCTGGGGCGAGGATTAAACAAACAAGCAAACAAACAAACAAAACCAACAACACAGAATATGAGCATTGGAGGGGTGTGAGCGGGACCGGCTGAGACCCTGGCCTCTTGGAGCTGGTCTGTTACCCCGACTCCCCTCCCGCCTGCAGCCCTGGGTCCCTGCCGGGTGGGGAGGGGGTGCGGGGTGCTGGGTGCGGGAGAGGATCCAGACCTGGAAGAGGAGCGCCAGCGTGAGCACGAGGCAGGCCGAGCCGCAGATTCCATAGCCGACCAGCAGGAGGAGCCGTCTGCCCAGCCACTCCACGGTGCCCGCCTGGGGGAGGGAGGCTGTGAGGGGCCTGCAGGGACCAGGGCGCCCAGAACTCTCGGCCACCACCCCCTCTACGTTTCTAGTTCCTGCATTGGATGCTGTGGCATCTTGGGGCCCTACGTTGGTTGGCCAATTTCTTGAATATGCTTTTCCTGTGAAACTAACCCATCCAGAGCCTGCACCTCCGACCTCCTCCTCCAGGGGGTGCTCACACCCAGGGCCGCTGTCCCCTGCCCTGATCTACCCAGGGCAGGTCTTAGACACCAAAGGGGGCAGCCCCTGCCCCCCAGAACCCCTGACACTGTTCACACAGGCCGGGCCTGAGCCTGCGCACCCCATCTTTCCACAGAAACCACAACGCAGGCTCTTGATCATGTCTCCCGCTCCCTCTGCCTCCGGGCTGACCCTGGGCCTCCCCGCGGGGCCCTGCGGGGCCTGGCCTGCCCCCCCTCCTCACACAGCCTGGAACTGTGAGTGACAGACGGTCTTACTGCTGTGCCGTAATCCCAGACCTGACCAATAATAACCTACGTGTTAGAGCGCCCCCTGGCACCGGCTGCTCCATGCCAGGCAGTGAGCACCCAGGACCTGACCTCCCGTCTCGGCCCTTCCTCCCCCACTTCCCGGGCCCGCACCCTCTTTCAGCCCGAACCCTCTCGGATGTTCCCAACGTGGCCACGCTGCCCGGCTGGCCTTCCTTCCCCTCTCCTAGCTTCTACGGCATTTCCAGTTCTACTGCATCCCTAGCACAGGCACCAGAACAGGCACCAGCACCAGCACCAGCACCAGGGCCACACCGAGGCCAACGGGGTGGCAGGCCCAATCCAGCCACTGCGTGCCCCTCCCTTCCAGGCCTGCAGGCGGGACTGTCCCTGCCGCCCGGCCAGGCCCACAGGAGAGCCTGGCACAGCGCAGGTGAGAGAGAGAAGCCACCTTCTCTCTGGGCCTGACCCACCTCAGCCTCCTGGGCACTGCGGCCACGGTGACCATCTTACACGGGAAGACGTGTGTGCGCACGTGCATCCCAAAGTCCGTGGCCCTCAGTGACCCAGGACCCTGGTCACCAGCCCCTCAGTGGACCCTGAGGGGCCCCCATGGAAAGGGTATTCCCGGGCGCTCACCGAGACGCCGGTCATGACGATGTTGACCACGCCGGCGCCCACGGTCACGTACTGGGACTGATTGGCCGCCACGCCGGCCACCGTGTAGATGGTGTCCGCGTAGTAGTTGATCTGGAACAGAAGCCCAGGGCTGCGAGGACCAGCCACGGCCACGGCCACCGGCCTCCCTGTCCTGGCCCTGCAGCCCAGGGCCCTGGGACAGGAGGAGGCACAGGGGGTGGGAAGAGCTGGGACGTGGCGCCAGGAGGCCGGGCTGCTGGAGCCCCGGTGAAGGATTGCCCATCTGACTGAGTCCAGCAGCTTCCGAATGGGCCAGAAGTTCTGAGGGAGACCCTGGCCTCTGCCTCCGCCTGAAGGCCGATCACCCATCATAGCCCCCTCCGTCCCCCGCCCTCGCCCTGCCCCCGCGGATGCCAGGCACACAGGCGCCTGCGGGGCTCCACATACCGCGTTGACCCCGGACAGCTGCTGGCCGGCCATGAGCACGATGATGGAGATGAGCTGCCAGTGCAGCGGCCGGAAGGTGAACAGGTTGAGCACGGACAGGCGGCCCTCGGCCCGCTCGGCCTGGTCCTCCACACGCATCTCCTCAATCTCGTCCTCCACGTCGGCCCAGCCCCTCAGTCTCCGCAGAGCTGCGGGGGGCAGAGCCGCCCCGTGGCTGACCGCACGCACCCCGGGCTCAGGGAAGAGGGCAGCGGCCCACCTGCTCGGCCCACCGGCTCCCCGTTTTCCCATGACCCCAACCAGGACCCCAACCAGGTGATGGGGTCCCCAACCACACCCCATGCTGGTCAGGCTCTCAAGTCCGCATGGGTCAGCGTGGCTGTGACCTTGCCTGTGCCCCGCAACCGCTTGGGCTCACCCTGGAGCTGCCCGGACTCCTTCTAGCCCACCCGCCTGCCCCTTGGAGCCCTCTCCCTCCGGCCACCGCCTGTCCCGTGCGCTGGGCGCCAGGGAGGGACGATCCGGGGCGCGGGAGGCGGCGGGAGCCTGCGTCCGGTACCTCGTCGGGCCGCGTCCTCGTCTCCTCTCTGGATGAGGGTGTAGCGCGGGCTCTCGGGGAAGACGGGCAGCGACAGCAGCTGCAGCAGCGCAGGGACTCCCGTGAGGGCCAGGAGCACGGGCCAGCCTGCGAGGGACCAGCACCGAGAACTGACACCGACCGCAGGTCCCTGGGGCTCTGGCTCCCTCCGGCCGGCCTCCCCCGGGCCTGGCTCTCTCCTGCTACAAGGTCGCTCGCCCACGCCCTTCCAGCCCTCGGCGAGAGCCATGGCCAGCAGGGACCTGCTTCCTGCCCCCACCCGCCCCCACGGGGGCTCCACATTGACGAACGGAGGAAACAATGACAATTTTAAAGAGAAATGTCATCCGTCCCTTTTGCAAGGAGAGCATTGTGCTTCTTAGGAACCCTGTTGGACTTAAAAGTGTGAGGCCAGAGAAAACACAGCCGGGCCTCGATCCTAATGTTACGGCTGGAAATGACCCCAGTCTACCCCCCTGGACGCTGGCCTGCGGGGATGGGCCCAGCACCGCGGCTCTCTGAGCTCCTTCTGAACGTTTGTGTGAGGCGGGCGGTGCCGAGACTCAAGTAACCCTGCCAGCGACGGTGGGAACCGGACGTTACTTAACCTCGCCAAGCCTTGGGTTTCTCATCAGGAAAGATGACGATACAACTAGAGGCCCGGTGCATGAAATTCCCGTGCAGGTAAGGTCCCTAGGCCTGGCGGGTGATCAGAGCAGTTCGGGGCCTTCCTTCATGTTTGTGCCACCCCCTGGTGGTCAGCACATGTCATAGCAAGTGATTGAACTCCCAGTCTCCCGGTCAAACTCCTGAGGGAACACTTTGCATATTAGCCTTTTATATATATAGGTGATGATGATGATGATGAAGAAGCACCACACAAAGGGTGGTGGGGGTTGTAAGAGACTGCACGAGCCAGGCATTCAAGGTGGCTCTGGGCAGCCGTCGGCCAGCATGGCCTCCACTCAGGGCCCTTCCTGTGATGAGTGTTTACCGTTCAGCTGCCCGGGGCAGCCTGGGAATCGCTGATACTAAAGACCTTCCACGGGGCACCTGCTGGGTTCCGAGTCCCTTCAAGGCACCGCGGGGAACACAAAGACTAAGCCCAGCCACTAAGGAATGCCTGACTGGGAAATGTGTAAAATGAAAACCCCAAACCAACCCCACTGCACCTGCGGCCCAGACGCAGTCCCACCCTGGCCCTCTCCTAACCTCCCACCATCCCCACCCCTCCCACTCCTTCCCATCCCCTCAGGCATGGTCTTGCCTCCTCTTCCCCTGAGGAGATGGAAGGAGCCAGAAGAAAACGTCTCCCAGGGCCATACCCGCCCACAAACAGTGACCATGGCCGGCCCGGTGCATGCTGGTCCCCCCGCCTTCCCGCTCCGGGGCCAGCCAGCAGCCCCGTGCGTGACTCTTCTTCCCGGGGACAGCCTCCCCTCCAGCTCCCTCCCCACCCAGCGACCCCCAGCTCTCTCCTTCCCTTCCCAAGCATGCGTGTGCCTCTATCCCCAGTCCTCTCCTCCCCTGCCCAAGCACAGCTGCCCCATGGCTCACCACGATGTCCTCATCAAGGTCACCTGCGCAGCCCAAAGGTCACCTCTCGGCCTCCCCGGGCTCGACCCACAATAACGTGGGCACAGCTGAGCGAACACCGGACCCAGCGCCCATGGCCCCACACGGCCCCCAGGCCCCTCCTTCCCTCTGACCTTGGCGGGCACGGCGTGGGTACCTGTGGGATTGCCCAGGATGGCCTGCAGGCTGAAGATCTGCGCCAGGAAGACGCCCACGATGACGAAAACCTCGGTCATTGTGCCCAGCGTGCCCCTGAGGTTCTTGGGGGCCAGCTCCCCCAGGTACATGGGCAGGGCGCTATAGGAGATGCCTGGTTCCAGCAAAACAAAGATCAGGGAGAAGAGCAGCTCCAGCCTCCTGGACCTGGACCCGGGATGTCAGTCAGCTCCTTCCCATAATCCCCAGCTTCTCTGGGGGGTCCAGACCACTGACAGGTAGCTCATACAGCCCTGCCTCCCCACACAACCACGTGCCAACAGTCAAGGCCCCACAAGACCCTGCCTCCCCCGCAACCAGGCCTCCCGGCACAAGCCCCGCCTCCTGGCACAAGCCCCGCCTCCACGTTCAAGCCCCGCCCTTGCAAGCCCCGCCTCCCTGCCTGGAGATGGACAGGCCCTGTGGGCTGCTTGGTTTGCACGGCTGAGAGGACCCTTCTAGAATCCGCAGGCCCCGGGGCCACCTGCAGGGCATGAGGCCAATGTTCTCTCCGTCCTAGTTGCAGCGAGGGGCGGGCCTGGATAGTGGGACTTTGGGACGATTCTCTTGCTTTGACCTATTTTCTGACTTTTCTAAAGCACAGATAACTTATGTCCCTTTTTAAGAAAAAACAAAAACAAAAACACAGAAGAAACCTCTGTGGTTAAGGAGCCTGGCTCCCCTGCTGAGCGAGGCCCCACGTTCTGTTTCTTTTGCTGGAAGCCCCTCCCGCTCCGTGCACCCTGGACATCCTTCCCAGAACACACCCCGTAAAGCCTCTCAGTGAGCTGTCCTTCCAGGCAAAGGGGATGGGTTTTAAGAAAAGCTTTACAATTAAGCTTATTGGGGTAACTTGGTTAATAACATCATATACACTTAGGATGCACATCTGTGTGCTCTGTTGTGGGATCACCACCCAAAGGTGCATTTTTAGGCTGGTCCGAGTGCAGTGGTGACTTACAACTAATCGATAACAGCCAGTTACAAAGGTGCGTTTTTAAAGAGAGCTTTGGCTAGTGCGGGGGCTGGGAAAGGAGACAGGAGGGAGCCCCAGAGGGCCAGGGCCAGGACCCTCCTCTCCCGGCGCCCAGCCCCGGCCCCTGAGCCGGGCGTGTCGGCCTCAGACCCTCCCACGTTGGTGAACTTGAGTGCGGCTGGGGCCTCGCTATCGCCCGAGGTACCTGCGCAGACTCCCAGCAGCACCCGGGCCAGGATGATGAGCTCGAAGGCCTTGGCCACCTTGCTGACTCCCATCAGGATGGCGGGGACGATGGCGAAGATGTTATTGATCAGCAGCGTTCCCTTCCTGCAAGGACAGCGGGCCCGGAGCGGGGGCTGAGGCGGGGGCTGCCCTGACCCGGCTCCTACTCTGCAGGCGGCTGGCACGGCCTGCGGGAATGTGCTGGGAGGACCAAGACCGCTGGCTGGAAGGACGGGGAGCTGGGACCAAGGCCTGGGAGTCCCAGGAAGGAAGGTCTGGGGCCCGCAGGGGCGGGTGGGGGTGCTGACCGAGGACAGCAGGGAAGGGACAGGAGTGGCTGCCGCCCCCGGGAGGGAGCTTCCCGTCCCTGGTGGTATTCAAGCAGAGGCTGGACTAGTGAGGCCTGTCAGGAGTGCTGAACGGCGGGTTCCCACAACAGGCGGGACACAGGGTGAGACTAGCCCAGTGGTGGGCAAACTGGCGGCTCATGAGCCACATGCGGCTCTTTGGCCCCTTGAGTGTGGCTCTTCCACAGCCTGGGCCAGTCTATGTTGAAGAAATGGCGTGAGAAGAAGTTTGAGTTTGAAAAATGTGGCTCTCCAAAGAAATGTCAGTCATTGTCCTGTTGATATTTGACTCTGTTGACTAATGAGTTTGCCGACCACGGAACTAGAGCATCGCTCAGATCCCTGACAAGGCTGCCAGCCCGGAGTCTATGAGGAGAGGGAGGGGTGTCTAGAAAAAGGGACCAGCCCTCCCGTCCAGACTGTGTTCTGGGCCCTTTGAGGGCTTCCGGCAATGGCTCCCTTGGCGCCCACACTCCAGCTTGGGTTGAGGAAGGAAGGGAGGTCCCAGCTGTGGGGTGGCTGCTGGCCGCACCGGCCTTTCAGATCTGCCCACACTCTGCCCGCCTCTGAGGACCACTGGGCCTCTGAGGGCTATGCCAGGAGCGTGGGGGGGGGGTAGGGGGAGAGGGAAAGGGGGTGTCTTTAAGCAGAAACACAGAGCCCCTCTGGAGGGGTGGCCACAGGGTGTCCCAGGCAGCTGGCCACCCAGGTTGGGGATAGTTTTCTCAGGCCCCTTTCCTCTCGGGGCGGCCGATCCTCTGGGAGAGCTGCCATCGGGGCAGGACTGAGAGCCGAGGATCAGCTGCCCCGAGGCCTGGAGAGGACAGCACCCCCCGCACCCCACTCCTGGCTTCCCCAGCCCTTCCTGCTCAGGGCGGTTGGGAACCCACTAGGACAAGGCCGGCTCCACCAGAGCGGTCTCAGTGTCTGAGGGCGACAAGAGACCATCCCTGAGCTCCCAAGCTCTGTGACGGGGAAGGGGTGTGTGTCCAAGTGAGGAGCCAAGCCTGGGCTTCTAGAACAGTCCAGCCGCTCCCGGTGTAGCTGAGAACAGCCCAGTCTGGATTACACAAAAGCCTGGTTAGGGCCTAATGACCACATCTGAGTGTTTCCTCATTCGTGTGGGCGGCAGATGGCAGATGCCGATCAGGCACCTAGAACAGTGGTCCCCAAACTGTGGCTCACGAGCCGAGGTTTGCCACTCTGTTGACTAATGAGTTTGCCGACCACTGGCCTGGAAGAAGAGGCGTGTGGGCCCGCTGTCAGCCAAAACCGGGGTCCAGCCGCCGGGAGTGTGTCCCGGGCGCCGGGCTTTAGACGTTCCCCCCGTTAGAGGGTTCCCCACTCACACCCCAGAACTGCCGTCCCAGCGTATCGAGCCCACGTGTCACTGCGAATGCCTCCGCATGGCATGTGGCCAGATGGCACCTGCTGCCTCACCCCGAGGCCGTGCCTCACCCTCCCTTCCTGGGGACCTTGGCCCGGGCACCCCGCCTTATCTGCGGAGTCACCTCTTTGCAGCTCCTGGGCGTGGGCCCCAGATTAGGGAGCCCGGGCAAGCCCAGCAAAGGACACAGAGCCACTGGGCATCTCAAGGAGGAGACGGAACAGGGGCATGGGGAGTGACTCAGCCTGAGCCCCGGCCTCAGACCAGCAGCCCTGGTGAGGCTGTGCCGTGTGGGGCGAGGCTGCCCGGTCTCCCCGAGCCCCGGGTCACTGGCCACGAGGCAGGCCCATGGGCACGCACCCGCGGAGTGCCTGCTGCGGTGCTGACAGGGCACTGAGGGGAGCCGAGGCCGGGACTTTGCTCTCAGGGCCCGGCGGTCCCCGGGGCTGGGACAGAGGGCCTGGCCTGCAGGTCCCGGGCCAGGACAAGGGAAGGGTCCCGGGCACCTCAGGGACTGGCTTCAGGGCATCGTGTCTGTGGCGCTGTGGGGACGAGGCTCTCCAAGGCCACATGGAGCCCCCGCCTCGTGCAGACCACCCGCAGACAGCGTGGCTCCCCCGTGACCCCCGTGACCTGGGAGTGGGGCCGAGCCCCCCGCACCTGCCGCACGTGTCCACCAGCCCGCCGACCAGCAGCGAGCCCAGCAGGCCGCCCAGCGGGAACACGGCCACGGTGCAGGACCACAGCAGCAGCATGTGCGTCTCGCCCAGGGGCGTCCCGTGCCGCGCGAAGTACGTGTCGTTGTAAAAGGCCTTCAGCACCTGGAAGACACGGCCGTCGTAGCCGGGAGGCCGGCGGCTTGGAGCCCTGGAGCGGGCGGCGGCCCCGGCCCCGCGCCCACCTTGTGCGGCGTGTTGACCACGGCGATGTTGTAGCCGTACTGGAAGGCCGAGCCGAAGGCCGCGCTCAGGGTGGCCAGTGCCAGCGTGGGCGACAGCCGCTGTGGACGGACGGGAGGCGGGCGTGAGGGAGGTCCATGCTCAGGGGCTCGGGGTGGGTCCTGGGACCTCGAGAAGTGGGCTCCCACCAGCTGGGCCTGGTGTGGGGGACCCCGGGACCCGCCCAGGGAAGGTGGGGGGGTGGCTGGCTGGGGGTGGGGTTCTCAGGGCACTGAGGCGTGGGGGGCACCGTGGAGGGCACTGTGGGGGGCACCATGGAGGGCATGGTCTCCTGCTCCTGGCACGCAGTCATTTCTCCTTAAAGATAGAGCTGAGCCCCACCGCGTGCCTGCGCGGGATGGGTGGGGGAAGCTCCGGGAGGGGGCAGCGCCCACTGGCCTCCCGGGGTTCACATTCTGGGGCGGGGAGGCCAGATAGGAAAAGGACACACAGACACAGTGATGCTCTGAGGACCAGCAGGGGAGCAGGGGAGAAGTGGGGGGGAGGGGAGGTGTTCCGCAGGGTGCAGGGCAGGCCTCTGAGGGGGCCTTGGAGCTGAGCCAGAGCGGCTGAGCCCTGGGCCGGGGGAGGAGTGTCCAGGTGGAGGGAGTCAGGGACAGAGGGCTGGAGAGCCCTGAGGCTTGTCCTTCACTCCACATCCCGCCACATCGCGCTCCCCTGGCCACCTCAGAGCCCAGGGCAGCTGGAGGGAGGGGGAGAGGGAGCGAGGAGACTGCCTCAGAGCCCAGGGCAGCTGGAGGGAGGGGGAGAGGGAGCGAGGAGACTGCCTCAGAGCCCAGGGCAGCTGTGAGGCTGGGAGAGGGAGTGAGGAGACTGCCTCAGAGCTCAGGGCAGCTGGAGGGAGGGGGAGAGGGAGCGAGGAGACTGCCTCAGAGCCCAGGGCAGCTCCTGGGGTTGGGGGGGCGGGAAGCGGGGAGACAGGAGACTGTCTCAGAGCCCAGGGGTGGCAGACTCAGGGCAGATCTGCGGCTGCCTGAGGCACTGCCTCCCAGGACTCCAGCAAACCAGCGGGTCCAGAGCCACCGCCCTGAGCCACGCTCCACCCTCTGCTTGCCTGCTAACTGCACCCCTAACTCCACCCACCCCAGCTGCGTGACGCCCGCAGACCTCACCCTGCTGGCCGGGATCCAGCCTGCAGAGAAGGGCGGGCACAGGGTTCCGGCACCTTCAGAGGCTGGGCAATGGGACGGGGCCGGGGCCGGGGCTGTGAGAAGCGTGGCATTGCCAGCCTCCTCCAGCCTCTATCACCTCCTCAGAGGGAGGCTCAGCCTCCATCTCCTCCTGAGAACGGGGCTCAGCCCGCCCGCCTGTATCTGAGCTGAGGTAGCTGCTTCCTGTCTGAGGAAGCCGCTGTCCCCACACTGGCTGACCCCTGTGGGCGGGGCTGTCCTGTCCCTGTAGGCGGTTCAGTAGCCGGCCCCTCCCTCCTCGGTCCCCTCTTCTGGTGGGAATGGGCCTTTCCTAGCCTGGCACTTACCCCCTTCCGGGGAGGGCTGGGCACCTCCATGCCGCTCAGGGGAGAAGCCGTGCGCTCTGCCTCCGAGCGACACCGGTCTGTCCTGCACCCGCGGCTTCGCCCCGGGGCCTGGGTGCCCTGACTGTCTTTGGCCTCTGGACCCTGCCCCCTTCCCAGAGCCACTCTCCTGGGATGTCTGATAAGATAAGGTTCACCCAGCAGGGATTTTGTCTTTGCCTCCTCCAAGCCCCAGGCCCGACGCTCCAGGTGCACCACGGAGTGCCCAGTGCCCACCACGGGCCCATGGCTGGGAGCAGGACTGGGGGTTTTGCCTGGGTCTCGGCCGCTTCTCCCCATTAGTTCTCTGTGCTTCCCCTCAGCGATGTGGACTGGTTGTCCGTTTGGAGGAAAGAGCAAACAAAACACTCTCACAGGCAGGCGACGTGATTACTCCTAAGGACGCCCACCGGCTCGCAGCGAGTCAGTGACACAGTCAGCAAAGGTGTTCATCCCAGAACGGCCTCTCCCGAGAAAACACGGAGCAGGGAACACGGAGTAACGATGAAGGCTGATTAGGAAATTACGATCAAAGGACAGGAATAATGGTCAGAGGACCATCCTGAAAATCACGTATGTGGTCACCAACGCGGGACGTACTGGGGCCCCGGGCGCAGTGTTGGCACGTGGGTGGCAGCCCGAGGGCGCAGCCCACACCAAGAAAGTGAGGTCCTTATTGCTCCCGCCCACCTGCGCCGACAGGCAGGGATCCTCTTGTGGAGGGCAGCCTGAGAAGGCACGTGGACATCCTTTAAATTGTCAGCTGAGCCCGAGGGCTGGGGGTGTTCTTCAGTTTCTGACTGACCTTTGTCCAGGTGTCAGCAGGGGCGGGTCTAGATATGTAAATCCAGTGATGCTAGGACCTAGTTAAGAATGCAAATAAGCTCCTTTGACCCTATAAATAAACCTGCTGCGTGGCTCGGCTGCTCATTGCCTCTCCATCAGAGAGGATGGCTCCCACCTGGCTCCCAGCTTGATGAATCTATTTCTGCCTCTTGGTCTCTTTCTTTAATTTCTTAATCCCCAGCTCCTCCACTCAGGAACCCGTTTCCTTTTCCGTGATGGAGATGGACGTGGAAAACAGAGAAACAGCCTCCTCCCGCCCCCCCACCCCCCTGCATTCTCTAAAGCAGGGGCTTCCACTCTCTTCATCTCAGGGCACCCAGAAACCGATCACTGACATTCGGCAGCACACCGTACACTTGTTCTGCCGTTCTCAGTCTTTTGGGTATAACCTTGACTCGTTCCCACTGGATGGCTCTTGTGCTGGCTGCTGGCATCTTGCTATTTGACATCTAAGGGAGAAGAGGCCTCGCCCCTGACTACATGGTCGGCGATCGCACGTCTGAAGAATTCTCGGGGTGCAGAAGTGAACATTGGCGCTCTAAAGAGCTGTGACTCTGCGGTGCCCCTCGTGGCTTCTGGGGCCTGGCCAGCCTGTGGCTCAGCTGTTGGGAGAGAAGGGCATGTGCCCCTCGCCCCGCCGGCTCTGCCATGTAAGCATGGGCCCCGGGCGGGGACAGTGTGTGCTCCTGGGCTCTGCTTACAGCAAGTGAGGCAAGGGCCTCCGGCACACCCAGCCTTCTGCGGGTCAGACCCCCTGGGGAGGGGCAGGGTCCTTTCACAGCGCGTGCAGCCACACCGCCCACCACAGCCACCTGGGGACCCACACCCCGCAAGGGACTGGATCTGTGCAGCCCCTCTCTGCTTTTTAAAAAAATATATGTTCTTATTGGTTTCAGAGAGAGGAAGGGAGAGGGAGAGAGGGAAACACCAATGATGAGAGAGAATCACTCATTGGCTGCCTCCTCTACGCCTCCTACTGCATGTGCCCTGACCGGGGATCGAACCGGCAGCCTTTCAGTGCGCAGGACATGGCTCTCACCAGCTGAACCCAGGCTCCTCTTCTGCTGGGAGTGCATGCTGCACTAGAGCCAGGTGTGTCTGTTCTCAGTGACCTTGACTCATACACTGGTCTCTCCCCGAGATGGCATTCTACTGCCCTTTAACCTGGCTGCATGGCCTGGCCACCCAGTGGACAGTGCACTGTCGTATCTCTATGAGCAGTCTGTCCAAGGTGCTCTCGGCGTTGTCTATCACGCTCCTCCAGATTCCCCCAGCCTCTTCGCCCGCGCCCACTGCCATGGCCACTCCATATATGTAGGTATTTGTTCGTGCTCCCCCCGCTGCCCAGGACCAAGGTCTGGATGAGTTTCCTGTGGCTGCTGTAACCAACTCTGCCACACGGTCATTACCTTGTCATTCTGGCGGTCGTGACTGGGACCCAGTCTCACGGGGCTGCGATGGGGGGTCAGCAGCGTCGCGGTCCCTCCTGGAGGCCGCAGGGACAGTCCGTTCGCTCACCTCTCCAGCTCCGGGAGGCCGCCTGCCTTCCTTGTCCACGGCCCCTTCCCCGTCTTCAACGCCGGCACCTGACACTGAGTCTCTCTTATGCTGCTGTCTTCCGGCTCCTCCCTGGTCAGCGTGGTTGCTCCAGTAATCCCGTGGAATCCCCCATCTCAGAGTCACATGATTAGCGACCTGAACACCATCTGCAATGTCCACCCCCCTTTGCCCTGTGACATAACACTTTTGGAGGTTCTGGGGTTAGGACATGGACAGGTTGGGGGCACGTTATTCTGTGACCATAGCTCGCTCTCTGTTTGCTCCTACAGACCCTGGAGAGCTGGTCCAGCAGGCCTCTCAGCTCCCCCCGGAGTGGGCTCTGCATCCCGCTGGCACGCCCCCGGCTGGCCGGCCAGGAGGTAGGAGTTGGATAGCACTGATCCACGCCGGGTGTCTCTCCTGCCTTCCTCTGAGTCAGGGGTGTCGAACTCAATCAAAGAAGGGGCCAAAATCTAAAATCCAGCCTAAATCGCGGGCCGAATGGTTTACTGAACAGTCATAAACTGACAATGTTAACCAGAAATGTGAATTTAAAATGAGTGGAACAATCTTTTCCTTAACAGTGCTGTTAACCAACTCACATGCTATCAAGCAAAACAGTAATATTGGTATCAAGCAAAACAGTAATATTGGAATGTACCTAAAATGTTCATTGTTTTGTTTTCTGGCTAGATGTCTGACACCGTTTTCCCTGGATCAATGAGTCAATGTTCGGTTTTATTTCTTGGGCTGTAGCAACCCGCAAAACAGCATGGAGGTTGTCATCGGTAATGTGTGATCTGTGCTTGTTTTTGTTCAGATTCATTATTGAAAACATCTGTTCACAAAGATAGGTGCTCCCGAACATGGATAGAATACGGGCAGCATGAAGTCGGAGCTCTGGCATTGAGTCAGGGGGCAGTAGAGGGTAGAAGTCCTCAATTTCAACATCCTGAAACCTTGATTTCAGGCCACTGTCAGACTGAAGCTCGATTATCTCCATCTGAAGGTGATGGGGCACATTGTTGACATCAACTGTAAAAGGATTGGCAAAGATGTCAAAGCCTGAGTGCTGTGTTCTAAAGTCAGAGAAGCACCGCTCAAATTCACTTAGTAAACGGCTAACTTTGGTAGCCAGCCGACTGCAAGGAAAAGTACCAGAAATAGTGGTTGAAATACTCAAACAAAAGGGAAAGTGGGCAAGATTGTCCTGTTCCAGTTGGGACTTCCATAGTTGAAGTTTACGCTGGAATGCTGTGATCATGTCAGACATCTTCGTGATGACTTGTTTGCATCCCTGCAGCTTCAGATTCAGTTGGGCGAGATGCTCGCATATGTCACACATCATAGCAAAATTACATAGCCAGGCGGGATCCGACAGTTCAGGCAAGGGCTTTCCTTTACTTTCCATGAAAAGAGCAATTTGTAGGGCGGAGCTTGAAGATGGCGACCGAACAGTCGGACTTGTTCTGACTCTGGTCCCAGAACAGATAGAAACAGCGTCTGAGTCGCTCAGGGAATGTTGATTGGCAGCTAAGGGGCTTCGGAATTCTCTAGGAAGGTAAGGAAAGGTCCGTTGGACAAGATTTCCTGACCAAGAGGCCAGCACTGCCGCGGCTGCAGCGGCTCTCCCAGCGAGCTCTCGCGGAGAGAAGGCAGCGCCATCTTACCAGGAAAGGAGGAGCATCCCTGAGGCCTGGAAAAACACACAGCGGGGAGGTCCATCAAGCAGCTGAGAAGCCCGAATCGGCACGGGCGCGTGGAATCCAGGGAGTTCTTCGGTCACCCACGGAAAGGTCAGAGTTTGCGGGGACAGCCTAGGGGACCGGGGTCCCGCGGCCCAGGCGGCTACGGTAGCCGGGGAGCTCCAACCCCTCCCTCAGGGTAGCCGGGAGCGCGCACTACCGGCCGCCGAGCAGCACCCAAAGAAGGCTGCAGCGACACCTAGTGCTGGGTTTGACGTAATCCTCCCCAGAAGCGGGACTTTTTTAAAACGCCACAGGTCACTGGACAGAGCGTTAAGAATCTCGGCTGTTTCGCCAAGGGCGGAACATCTGGACACCTTGGTGCCTGATCCCCTTCACCCCCTTGCTTCTGAATACTAGGGAAGGACTGCCCAGTTGGACATATCCGGGGAAATTGCAGGGGGAAATTGCCTTCCTGGAAACAAGGGATCTGTACCAGAAGAGATAGTCTGGGAGCCAGCTGGCACCCTGCCAGCTAGAGCCATAGAGAAAGAAGGCCAGAGCAACCAAAAAGACTGGGAGGTCAAACCAGTAACACTGACACCTAAGAGCTGAATTACAAACTGCCCCCCCCCCTTTTTTTTTTTTTTTTTTTTTTTTTTCCTTCTCTTTTCTTTTCTTTTATCTTTTAATTAATCAAAAATAAATGGACACAAATAACTAAGATATAGTCTACTTAAAATTAAGGATTACCTTACAAATCTGAGGTGCAGTGGAATGCTGGGAACTGCAAGACTTTTTGGGCCGAGAATCAGGAGTGCCAAATACATTAACAGAGAAAGTGAATGACCACTACTGGACATTTTTATGCTAATTTTACTATTATTTTATTTTCATTTTTTACCTCTTCTATTTAATCTTCATTTTTTATATCTTTTACTTAAGAAACGATTTTTTTTTCCTTACTTGATTTTACCTTTTTAATTATTACATTTTTCAATCTCTATCATCACTATTACTACTGCTATTTTG